AATACATAATTGTTAGATAATAGATGCATTAAACTCAGTGACCCACAACTCCTCATTTTCTCTCTTCCCAGCCTCTTATTTTATTTCCTGCATCAAGCTCCAAACAGTGAGCTTGATTTCTTCAGAAATTTTTAGTGGAATCATCTAGTGCGTCCTTCTGTACCTAATGTCACTTAGCATTACGGCCTCAAGGTTTGTCCACGTTGTTGAATATGGCAGGATTTCTAGTTTCAGAACAATGAAACAAGTCTTCTACTATGATGAGAGTTGGGTATTTTTTATTTTGGCAGTGCTAGGCCCTTGAACTCAGGCCTCGAGCTTTCCAGGCTTGTTTTCTGTCACTGAGTTACACTTGCAGTGTATAGGCAATCTGCACACTGAATTGCACTCTGAGATTGTTTTAGAATATGTCCATAAATTCAAAAGGTAAAGCTTAAGGATTCACCCCTGACTGTGAGTTGAACTAGTTGATTTGCTTCTAACAAGGAGAATGTGCCAGAAATGATGGTGTGGGACTTTCAGGATGAGACAGGAACAGCCTCGGCCCCCTCTCTCTTGCACTGTCACTCTAAGAGTGTGGCTTCCTGTCTTCCTGACAATCACGCAGCCCTGTGGAGGTGCCCCTAAGTGAGGAGCTGAGATCTGCTAACAGCTGTATGACCCACTTGGAAATGAAGCCTGTAGCCGTAGGAGACTTTGAGAATAAAACTTGGTTTACAGATTACAATCTTGTGAGGGACCCTGAGCCAGGTCAGTCTGATGCAGCATTTCTAGGTTCCTGATCCTCAGAAAGTGGGTGAAGTAATAATGTTCATTGTTTTAGCTATTATATTTGGAGTAATTTGTTATGCAGTAGCTGAAAACAAGCACATCTTTTCATGGTATTTATCCTAAGCTAAATAACATTTCAGTATGTATATAAAGAAGCTGCTGTAATATTAAGAATGCTTAATTGTTTTCTTTAGCATTATGGAGAATGAGAATAGTTCAACCTGGATTATGTTTACAATTTAGAAAAGTGTAAAAGTGAAAAATTCACAAACACTGAAAGTCCCTTTTCAGAGACAAACTACTAACAGAAAAGAGACAAGTTGGAGGAGGGCAGGGAGTTAAAGCATAAAGCATAAAGCTCTTTTTTCCTGCTCCTTATATTCCCAATCTGTCCTACTAATTAGCACCATTTAACTTTGACAGTGCAGATTCAGGTCATAGAATTAGAGAAGGATTAAGCCTCTATCTCTCTTTCTCTGTCTGTCTGTCTGTCTGTCTGTCTCTGTCTCTGTCTCTGTCTCTGTCTCTGTCTGTCTCTCTCTCTCTCTCTCTCAGAAATGGATAATTTAAACTGTTTGGAAACCACTTAGGCCTGCAGGAAGACTTGGAAGGATGATGTCCAGAAATCACATAGAAAAGAACATAAATGTTACCAAAAGCTAGAATAATAATTCTACACCAGCATCGATTCTGCACTGTCTCCAAACTAAATTATGGGAGAAAATATTGATTTAGGAGGTTATCTGAGTCTGTAATGCTGCCTTTTCTAGGTGCCGACATGTGAAGGTTTCACCTTTCATTCAGGAAGTGTCCTTCTCTCAGATTGTGTGGTTGGCTGAGTTGTTTTCGACCTAGTCTCATTCTTTGTGTGCTTTCTGAGTACCAAGACGTACACCATGTGAGAGTTTTTGGTGTCTGCCTGTTGGCATGTGGAGTGGCCGGAACTTTGTACTTTGGAAGAAGTAGCAGCAACCATTTACCATCCTTCAAATTCACCGAGTTGTCTATCAGCAGAGTAACTTGACAGCCTCGAAAGCATCCCTGTGCTTTCATTCTCAGTGTAGAATGGATCTCGATCTCCAGTCCTCCAATTGCTTTGTTGGGACCGAGTCCCGGAGAACAGAGAAAGGTCTTGTGATAAAAGAAGAGGCTCTAAGAGAAAAGCCTGAAGTTTTGTGTCTGGATTAGAGGTCTGGTCTTGAACAGAAGGGATATTACTCCTTATCTTTCATCTGTAACAAGGTCACGTGAGGAGTAAGATTACTGCTTCATCAAATCATGCCAGAATTCTCACATCTTTCTAATTCTTATTAAATGCAGATGCAGAAGATCTGAGTTTCCAAGAATTTACCTCCTAGAGGCTGTGTAGACCACAGCTCCCATTTGCAAGTAAATCCTGGAAAGACTTTCCTTAAACCAACAGTCTGTCTCTGGGCCACTTCACCCGCTTGATTGTAGGTAGAAGCTCTGTTTATAGTGTGAAAGAAAAGGCAGACAGGAGACCTTGTTTTGGGGTCACTATCTCAGGCAAGTAGAGTTGCTGTACTCCCAAAATGGAGTGACAAGTCTGGAAGAGGGATGAAAAGCCAGGGGAACATTCCCAGCACGGAAAATGCATGAAAAACAAAGAAATCTGGCTGACCATCGGAGACATGTGAAAGCCAGGTTACACAGAATCCCTGCATCCCTTCATTGAGAGATCCGAGACTGCAGCTGTTTCCTCTAATTCATTCACACGGTGGCTGAGGGCTTAGGTCAAAGCTTGTGCCCTGTTTTCTTATTCAAATCCACCTGATGTTCCATCTCCTCTCTGAGGACTGTGTATTCCAAGAATGGAAGAAAATAAACCTCATTTTATTGAAAGCACAAGTTTCGCTGCTACTTATCAAATCTTCTTTATATTTACTTAACAAAAAGAAAGGCTAGAGTAAATGATGATCAATTTTTCCTTGGAAATAAAATGGAAAGAAATGTGAGCATATAAAATTTCTTTGCTGGACTTTATATCATTTTCAACTGAAATGTGTTTTTAACAAGTTACATGAACTTTATTAATGCCTTTACTTGAGAATTTTTCTGCTTAATAAATTCTTTGTTTTTTCTTAAAAATGTTTTCATTTAACATTTGATCTATGTATCATATCATCATTGGTTCCTACTTAAAGGAAACATATTTGAAATACATTTCAAGGAGGAAATAAAACTTCAGAGTTGGATGAAGATGTTAGAAAGAGACTGTGGACCAGCAGAATAAAAAATTTTAATTTTAAAATAAATAAATTGATATCAAGGAATTCATTTTTTAAAACTGATCCAACAACACGAGTCAAAATTATTGAGTTAGCTAGGCTCTGTTGTCAGTATTTATTTAGTAGAAAAAACCTCTAATATTTCATTTTATTATCTGTCTGTCTATGTACCTACCTATCTATCTATCTGTCTGTTTGTCTGTTTGTCTATCAAGAAAGGGTTTCCCTACATAATTCAGGCTGACTTTGAACTCACCATGTAGCTCAGGTTGGTCTCAAATACTTGATCCTCTTGCCTCAGCCTTCCCAGTGATGGTATTACAGGCATGCACGCAGCTTAAATAATTCACTTTGTATAAGTGTTTCACTTTTTCGGAGAATTTTATGTGATTTTCTCAAAACATAGCCCAATTATTAAACAGTGTTTGCAACAGTCCCCTTTAGTCAGTGCTAACTGTAAATAGCTTGAATAATTCACTAGTAATAATAACCAACCCTCATCTACTGCTTTGATGTAGGCATATTTGTAAGACAAAGAATAGCAAAACCAGCCAAGAAGTTGCTAGTGTAGGATGAATGAAACTAGAGCTAGTAGAAGAAATAATGGACCATCAATCTTTATGTCTGCCTATTTTGTTTGTTGCACAAACATACACACATGCAAACACACACACACACACACACACACACACACACATAATCATGCATCACCCTAAATAAAAACAAGCGATTCACAAAATAAAATTTTAAATGTTTGTTCCTTTGTATGCGGTGCACTTGGCAATCTTGTATTTTACTTTACGTTCATTTAATGCTACATCATTCTATTTTCCTTTACTTTGTAAATGCTATTTGTTGAACACTAATTTGATTTTATAAAAGTAGCTGCTCTGTTGGGAGTCATCTTTTGACTTAGTCTTCCTTTGCCCAGCATTCTAAATCATAAAGAAAAGCTATAACTAAGATTAAGATGTTAACTGTGGATTAGTCTGTTAGATTTACAGACCCTAGAACATCTGGTGACCTTCAGATAACATCAGAATTTGTAATGTCCCCCTTATCTTTTAATTCTGTGTGTCAACCAGCACAAAGCAAATCACTTGTTGTGATGTTTAAATTTCAGGAAAGTAATATGTTTGTTTAAAGAATTATAAGAACTTGCCCCAAGAGGTCAAGGTTGATTGCAATGTTCCAGCCCAGTGATGGGGTGAAGCATCCTGGATAATGAAGACCCCATGGGGCACATAGTCTTCTTGCTTGTCACCCTCTCATGTCCTTTCTCTCCATATAGAAGCCCTTTCAAGCACTCAAAGTGGACAGGATGAAGGTTTCCCCATCTTTTCAATCTCAGAGTGCCAACCCTTTCATAAGAAGTTTGGTTTTCTTCTCCCTCTCTCATCTCCTGGCCATTGGCTTTCCATCAGGGAGTAGATGGACCTGGTCCTGTGACAGTTTCCATGAGTTACATTTATATTATAACTTGTAAATCTGAAAAATAGGAAACCAGATTGTGAAAATTAACCAAACTAATGTTGAACAAGGACTGCAATATAAGTGGAAGAGGTTATGTTTCATGATTTGGTTGAATCACTTTCATTTCCAGGAAACCAGAAAAGACCCACAGCAAAGTTTTGTAGATTTGTGGTCCCTAAAGAGATGGCGTGGCTCATTACAAATCTAAGCCTTTGCGTGCTAAGTTCTAGGTGGAGTATTATTTGTTATTATTTGTTCTAATAGCTTTAGCTCAAGGCAAGAATTTCAAACAACAAAGTTGTTTATTACTAGGAGAGGAAATAGAACAATGGCTTCCTTTTACTTATATAGTTTTATTTTTTTTTTATTTTTTTGCTGAAACAAAAGCGGATTTACTTATGCTATACAAAAGCTATTATTTACTTATGATGTCTCTGGTTGAATTAAGGGTCATATTCCAAATTTTACAAGGTAGGAAATAATGGCTGTTACTCCTTATATTTATAGTGGACCATCGCAAAATATGCTCCCAGATTTAATGGCTTCCAGCAGCAAGACTCCCAAGAACTTCTAGCTTTCCTCTTGGATGGTCTTCATGAAGATCTCAACCGAGTCCATGAGAAGCCGTATGTGGAACTGAAGGACAGCGATGGCCGACCAGACTGGGAAGTAGCTGCAGAGGTTTGTCAGTTTTGAGTTTCTAATGTAAGCAATAGATGAAATACTCTGACCATAAATGCATGCAAACAACTTATATGCAGATTAGGGCCAGGGATATAGCTCAGCGGCACAGCACTTCCCTGGCAAACACAAGGTCCTGAGTTTAATTCCCAGTACCAGAAAAAAGAAAGTTTAATAATAATTAAATGCAAACTAAAATGTTCTGTGATTAGAGTATTAAAACAAGAGCTTAAAACAGTAACACATGCATGCCATAAGTTTGCCACCTCTGGCATGGATATAGGAATTATTATCCAGTGAATTTTTTTTTTATTTTTTTATTTTATTTTTTATTTTATTTAAGGAGAAAAGAAAAGAAAGAAAAAAAAACAGTGAAGGGGTACAAGTTATACAGATTTACAGGAGAAAAAAATGCACAGTAGGCAATCACTAGTTAATGGATTACTTATTGCCATCTTAGAAATAATTGTTCAAGTCACAGAATTAAAGCTTGTAGAGTGGACATTCCAACTATGATACTGCAAACAGTTCTGTTCAATGATCCAATAAAACTCTGTGATATCATTTTCTATCTTATACATTTAAATATACATGCAGTTATATAGTTTAGAGCACTTTCTTTTCCTCTCTTTTGTACAATGACTATTACACATTTTGGGTTTCATTGCTCCCACGGTTCTTATTGCTTTTTTGGAAGAGAGTAAAACCAAATGTGACATAACAGAACAGAATCGGTCAAGTCAAAAGGGTGGACATAATAGATAATATAAAAACATAATACAAGGTGATCAACAATTGTTACCATAATGCCTCCCGCTATTTCTAATAGAATTGCCTATATCATTAGTTGTTATACAATTGAACAAAACCGTAAAGAATAAAACCGACAAAACCAAAACATTGGAGATATTGTAGGTCTTCAAAAGTAGATAAAAGTCAACGAGAATGGGCGTTATAATGAATCTCATTATCTTCTCAGCTGATACCTAAACTTTCGAACCTGATACTATCCAGCAAAACAGAATAGAGGAACCTCAGTCAAAAACAAGATGGTGAGAGTAATACAGGGCTTCAAATCGAGATAATAGAAAGTCAAAGTGGGTTACTATATTATATCCTGCTATATTTTTCCCTTTAATTAAATGGATAAAAATAAAAAAGTAAATAATGGAGTGGAGATTGAGAAAAAAGAGGGCATAACAGCGACACAGGGCAGATCAAAACATAACCATTTAAGCAGAATAGTGTTTCACCACCAGATAATCCTGACCCAAAAATAGTTACCATATTGACTCCCTCCCTGAAGTCTTTGAGTACAACTTCATATACTGTAGCATTAAGTATATCAAAACAATGTAAAACCATTTAAGAGAATGACAGCATTATAGAGTATTTAGAATCGACTAACAGAAAATGAACAATGGTCTCTGTATAATCTCCTTGTCCTTAAAAGGTTTTTGCTTATACTATCGTACATAACAAAATCCAATAAGATACAACCTGTTTAGACCATTGGAGACAGAAGAACAAAAGCTAGATGAGACTTCAAAACAAGATGGTACTAAATCAGCATCACCTATTAAGATGTCATTTTCTCCAAAAAAAGCTGTTCCTATCATCCAATCTTCTCTGTCTCATTTCTGTTGAGCTCTTTTTCTGTCAGTAGCTGTCAGTTTGTCTTCTTCATTTTGTTCTCTGCTCCATTCGTTGTGGCCTCCCCGCCACTATTTCTGGGTTCTTTGTATTTTTCTTTTTTTAGAATATCCTGCAATACTTTCTGTAGGGTTGAATTGGTGGTTGCAAATTCCCCTAGTTCCTCTTTATCCTGGAAGCACCTCGTTTTTCCATCAATTTCCAGGGACAGTTGTGCAGGATATCTCAATCTTGGCTGGAGATTATTATCTTTCAAAGCTTGAATTATTTCCCCCCATGCTCTTCGTGATTTGATGGTTTGTGAAGAGAAATCTGCTGTAATTCTGATGGGTGTTCCCTTGTAAGTAGTCTGTTTCTTGTCTCTTACAGCTTTTAATATTCTGTTCTTGTATTGAATTTCTGGAATTTTTATTATTATATGCCTGGGTGTTTCTCTGTTAGGGTTGTAGGTAGCTGGGGTCCTGTATGCCTCATACATCTGAGTATCTTTACCTTTTGCTAAATTAGGAAAATTCTCCTGGATTATTTCTGTGAGTAGCTTTTGTAGTTCACTTGTTTGTGTCCCTACTTCTTCTTTTATGTTCTTAATCCTTAAGTTATGGCTCCTCTTATCATCTTCTTGTCTTTGTATTATTGCTGTGTGTTTCTTTGTTATTTTTAAGAAGTTTTTCATTTCATTCTCCCATGTTTTAAGTCTGCCCTCCAGCTCAGATAGTCTGTCCTTAGTTTCTTTCAAGCTGTTATGCCAGTCTTGGATAGACTTCTTAATTTCTTGATAGTCTCTTTGAACCTGCTTCACATACTCAATGCTTTCTCTGTTTTCTCCATCAAGCAATTCTCCCCTCTTTTTCTGTTCTTCCATTCCACCATCTGCTTTTTCCTGGGTGGTGCTTAGCATTTCTCTAACTATTCTGCATACTTCTAGCTTCAGGTCATTGATAACTTCATTCCTGAATTGGTCTATGAGGCTCTCTAGATGGCGCTTAATGTATATTGGTGCTGTGTCCATTATTGCCTGTTTCTCAGGATTGGGGGCCGAGGAGCCTTTTTTGTTGCTTCCCTTCCCCATATTTTCTGTTCCTTATAAAATGCAATCTTACATAGGAGGCCGGGCTTCCCTGCCTGTCAGCCACAGCCTGATCAAATTGCGCTGGCTAGTTGTTCCCGCCCACCGCTGCGCCCCAGGGAGTTGCGGAGGAGGCAGCCTACGCGGGAGTCAGTCGCTCCTCCGGGCCACCGTCAGGCTCTGGGATCTGGGTTAGGCCAGCCTAGGGAGTCCGCCAGCAGCGTCACTCAGGCCAGGCACCTTTCACCAATCCCGTCCGAGAGGGGAATGTGCGGCTGGAGTTGTCACCGCGCCCTGCTCTTACAGGACTGCCCGAGCCCAGAAAAACCTCCGCTGGAGTCAAACTGTGGTAGGGGATCAGTTTCTTGCTCACCTCGCCACCAGTCAGTTTTCCTCCTTGTCCATCCTGTTTCCGACTCCGTTCGCAGACTCCCGTTCCCAGAGCTCGGCGCGTCTCTCCTTGCCGAGCCGCTGTGGAGGCAGCCAGCCGCTGGGCGGCGGGAAATCCAAACCAAGGTTTCCAATGGTGCGGGGACTCCGTTCGCAGACTCCCGTTCCCAGAGCTCGGCGCGTCTCTCCTTGCCGAGCCGCTGTGGAGGCAGCCAGCCGCTGGGCGGCGGGAAATCCAAACCAAGGTTTCCAATGGTGCGGGGACTCCGTTCGCAGACTCCCGTTCCCAGAGCTCGGTGCGTCTCTCCTTGCCGAGCCGCTGTGGAGGCAGCCAGCCGCTGGGCGGCGGGAAATCCAAACCAAGGTTTCCAATGGCGCGGGGACTCCGTTCGCAGACTCCCGTTCCCAGAGCTCGGTGGGCGCGTCTCTCCTTGCCAAGCCGCTGTGGAGGCAGCCAGCCGCTGGGCGGCGGGAAATCCAAACCTCGGTTTCCAATGGCGCGGGGTCGAGCCTCCACACCGAGATTTTTCTGTTCCTATTTTAGCGCCAGGACTGTATTATAAGTTAGATTCTCTCAGCCCAGTTCATTCCTGAGTCAGCAGAGCATATCTCTACTGGTTCGTATCTCCTTAGTCCGCATCATTCCTGGCCTCTGAGCCGAGCCTTTAGAGAGCCTTCAGTAGCTGCTGCTGTCTGTCCGCCATGTTCTCAGGAAGTCACTTATATAGTTTTAAATTGAATTCAGGTAGACACCTTATTTTTTCCAGACCATAGACGCTTATGATCTATTTTGTATTGTAAATTTTTTATAAAAGGGATTACTGGAAGAAACATTGGTGGCAAGTTGAGTTTTGAAATGTACTATATAGGATGAATACTTCAATAGGGTAATATGGTCATAAAGTTAAGAACAAAAGATTCTCTGTTTTAGTTGAAGATGTGGTTAAAATTATGAACATAAAAATATAAACTTCGCAAAGGCAATAAAAATTTTAAATTATTTTTGTATTACCGACACTACCAGGAGCCACCACAACAAATTAAAAATATACTCTTTATGCTTGAAGTTGGAGCTGTGAATACAGCATCCTTATATATACATTTACACTCAAAATAGAATTTATTTACATATATGTGAAATTTAAGATACCTAAGAATACATATGGTCCTATGAGAGAAATACAGAAGCAAAAACAGGTAAGAAATGACATGCAAAGTATCTACCATTACCTATATTTTAAGGTAAGAAATGTTTACAGTTTGTTAACATATTGAATCCTGTGGAAGCCTTCCAGGTGGACTTGACATTTGCCATGTTTATAGATGAAGACCTTGAGGCTAACCTTAGCCAGGTTATGGAAACAAGATGAGAATTCAGATCTGACTCTATTCTTTTTAATACTTTAAGTCACACCCGTTTTTGCATTTCTGTTTTTTAGTGATCTGCAGAATAAACATTCATTGAAACCCAATATATTCACTCAGATGTGAAAATATAAATTGAAAATTGGTTAATCACTATCTCATTTCTATATTTATATTGTTGCTATTTGTGAGACAGAGTCAGCATATGTTTAACAGTCTCTAATTACTGCAATTACTTGAGATTTTTTCTTACATAGTTGTATCTATGTTATAATTCGGTCAACTGTTAATGAAGTTAGAAGCTAGATTGTTTAACTTAAAGTAATAAATTTTAATACACACTGAATAAGGGTTGAGCTGAACATCAACTAATGTAATGGATACAGGAAAAAATTTATAGGTATATTTCTTATAAACTCCATGGAACTCTTCACTAGTATAGGTTGTGACTGTTTTAAAACATTATCACTTTTAAAAGCATAACATGTTATTTTTAAGGGGAACATCAGATGATCTTTGGTTTGTCATAATTTATCCGTTATGAGCTTATATTCACTTCAAATATCACTGCTACTGTGTTACCAATAATAGCTTCATGGAAGGGCAAATGAAGCTTATGAAGGACAAATTTTAAAAAGTCATTATTAGCCCAGTTACCTCTAAATAGTACATGAAATTAAAAGATTGACCTCAATAAATAACTCACTTCACATCATTTTGCTCCTTCTAGAAATTAGCTTTGCAAATCGTTTTCAGCTTCAACATTAGAAATGAAAAATAAACCAGAAAATTCACTCAGCAACCACTGAAGACAC